ACCAGAGTCCTTTTCAATAGGGTTTTTAGACACTTGGGCTCGTTTTTGTATCTTGAAAGTTAGGTACCCCAGCTTTAATTCTGCGTTTACATTGTTTTTAAGTGCAGAGTTGAGTCATCATTTAGCCGAGAAATTCAACATGGTTAGCATCGGCCAATATTTAATGAAGCTTTTGGGCGCAGTGGTTATGCTTGTGTTTTACAGCAAGAAGGTCCTGGCTTCGTTTCCATCTCCAGAACTTTCTGTGTTGAGTTCTTGCATGTTCTCCCTGTGTTTGCGGGGGTCTCCTCCAGGTGTTCCCGTTCCCCCTACCACTAAACACACATGTACAATAGGTATGTTTTTAGTGGTAGGGAATAGATGGTGTTGGTTGGAGGCTTTGATGCTTTGATGTGTGTTCAGCGTCTCGCTTCCGTCATCACCGTGTGGAGAGAATGAAACAATATCTGAACGCTGAACATTGCAAATCCAGTCCAATCCACTTTATTTATATAGCACGTTTAAACAACAGTTACGTTTCCAAAGTGCTGCACAAAAAAGTATAAAATAAATAAAAACTTATCCTTAGCTTCACCAAGTATAAAAGAATAAAAATATATAAAACAGATTCAGTGTTGCCAACTTAGCGACTTTGTCGCTAGATTTAGCGACTTTTCAGACCCCTATAGCGACTTTTTTTCAAAAAAGCGACTAGCGACAAATCTAGCGACTTTTTCTGGTGTTATTGGCGACTTATCTGGTGTTTTGGCGACTTATCTGGTGTTTTGGAGACTCGTGAAGCACGTATTGTTCTGCAGTCTCACAGTAGCCTTGCGCAGCAGTCCCAGCTACAGTCTATGGGCGGAGCAGAGAGAGAGGAGACTCAAAAGCACAGGGAGTTTTCAGGCTGCTGCAGACTGAACTTCAGCTCCACCACCACCACACATCCAAAGCTCCCCGGCCACTCCTACCACCGCCACCCCCCACTACCCCCCACTCCATCCGCGGCAGCTCTGTCCGTGACTCTGTTTTCTCTCAGTAGTGGGTCACATTAAATCATTTGTTATGCCAAACTATGAAAAAAAAAAAAAAAACTTACAAAAATAAACCTAAGTAACTCTGCCAGAGTGTGTCTTTTGGGTCACTTTGCCGGTCCCAAGCCCGGATAAAGGAGGAGGGTTGGTTGTAGAGCTAGAAATTTCACCCTACATAACAATCTTTTGATTACATTTGCTGTTATAACATTTAACAATACAGGACAAAACTGATGTGTGTAATGTGGATCTAGACAAAGCATTAAAATCATTAAATGTTGTTAATGTTGAAATTATTTTTGTACATTTGTAGTTCTAAACATATTTAGGGTGTTTTTACTCACTTTTGTCTCTCCCACGACCTTATTCCTCTCTCCTACAGCGTCCGTTACAGTTATTTGCAAATGGCAAATTATGCAAATTAGGCGATGACGTCATTTAGCGACTTCTAGCGACTTTTGGGACAGCCAATAGCTACTTTCCTTACTGAGGAGTTGGCAACACTGAACAGATTAAAGCCATAAATAGAAATAAAATAAAATAAAATAAAAACACAGAGGACCACACAACTCACGCAGTGTTAAAAGCCAGAGAGTAAAAGTTGTAAAGCGCTTTGGGTGACCTTGGTCTGTAAAAATGTGCTATATAAATAAGCATTACTTACTTACTTACTTCTGTCTTGAGCATTTGGGAAAATAGACTTTGTGAAATAGACTGGACAAAAGAAGCAGTAAAAACACAAATATTTAGTTTAGAAGAAGTTGCCATATCTATAGTCTGGCTGTGTTTTCTTTAACTGGACATTTATCTTGTCCGATAGGAAACACACGACATAGACTGCTTTACCAAACATTTGCAATAAACAAGTCAGCATTTCTTCAGGTCTAGCTCTCTCTTGCGTTGTTAGCCTAAGTATCGACAAGTGTTGACAAATCATACTCCCATCAGTCAAGCTAATTTACTGATTTGTACAACATGAGCGAGCGCATGTGGGACAACAGATGGAAATTATCCTGAGGCACACATTATCCAGAGAGGTGTGTTCATTTACCATGCAGTGTCCGAAACAAACTTCAACAAAGCTACAGTAAACATATACATATATATATTTATAAAAGATTCTGACTGGTATTGAAGCATTTTCAGCATCTACAGTTAGTTATGCTAGTTAAGAAACATAGCTACTACTTATTTTGTATATTGTTTGTGCTCACTGTGTGCTCTTACTTCTGCAACATAGACATTTCCCCACTGTGGGACGAATAAAGGAACTCTTATCTTATCTTATCAAACAAGGTTTCCATTTTGGTTGCTTTTTCTGTATCGCTCCTTTCTCACAAACCCTACCCTGAAGTCAAAGGGATGTACAGTATTTTTTCTTTGCCATGAAAGTCGTAATACAGTATAAAGGCCCGAGTTTGAATCCATGCCGACCCAACTAATTGAAGTAATAATTCTGTACAGTGGTCCCTGGTTTATCACAGAAGTTATGTTCTAAAAAATAACCTGCAATAAGCGAAATCCGATAAGTAGCAGCAGTTTGTTTTAAGACTGTAAAACCCCTCACCACTTTCTACTTCATACACTTGTCCATCCACCTGAAATCACGACTGCTGAAGTGCGATCACAGAGAAATGTGCTGCTGCAGCTGTCAAAAGCCGTGTATATACTGGGCAATGCAGCACCGTGATGAGGGCTATGGGAAGGCCGTGTCCTCTGAACTAATCACAACGATGCAAAACAAAATCAACAAAAGTTTTGTTCTGGCTTTCAATAAATTTGTGTTATACTAGCTGTTATATGATGTTGTATATGACTGAGTTGGAATAGACACGCGGCACAATTGAAGCACGCTGTAAAAAAAAAAAAAAAAGTATTTAAAATTCATAAACATTTGCTAAACAGCGAGGCCACAGTAGGTAAATATAGAAAGGGAGCACTGTATTTAAATTCTTGCCACAATGGAAAGTAGTCTGTGTCTGTTTGGGCACCTTTTCTCCCTTGATTTTGGGTCTTGCCTTTTTGTCCAGGAATTTCTGGGTTTCATTAGTTTTTGTTGGAAAGTTTTTATAAGTGTTTTTTTTGGTAATGTTTTGATATTTTTTGTAATCTCCATTTTGTAATATTGGAGCAGCTTGAGACTAGAGTATAAGCAGCACTGTTATGAAATAATGTAAAAAAAAAAAAAAAAAGAGAGACTTTGGTTAAAATGCGTAACAGAACATCACTCTACTTGATTTCCCTTCCAGCTATTTCCACAATTAAACAGATGGGCATGTCAGAAGACCTCATTACCACGAGGAGTCGGTGAGTAGACACATAGTTACTAAGTGTTCTTATTTTGACGGATGTTATTGAGCCTCTTTATCGACTTGAATGTCCATACTGCAGCCAGTGGACACATTATCACCATAGTAACATTTCACCTGGAAGGAAAAGCAACCTTCGACTCAACGACCAGATGTGTGTATGCGGCTTTCTTTGTTCAATGAATAATCTTCAATCATTTTAACACTGCTCCTCATTTTCTCAGCATTCCCAAGCCAACAGACATCAACATGGGGTGACTTGGGTTTGGATATACGCATGTTATTAATGTGCTGCTTTGTTAGACATCGATACTATGTGTTTGTTTTAAGAGAGAAAGTCATAAAGGTGGCGACTCCAAAGGAACATCCGTATGCATCGCACATTCCCCGGTATTTACTGTTTCCTTCAGAAAGCTCATATCGTGGTTCAGAGGATGAAAAGATGCAAAACGTTGTACCCAACAGTGCACCAGAGGTAACTCTACTGAGCAAAACCAAAGGTGAGAGGACCATTTCACAAAAGGCATCAAATGTATTTATAAAGCACAATTTGATGATGCTGATTATGCCACTTTCAATTGTATTTCATATGTTTAGGTTAGACATATGTTTGACTGTATCCGTATCAATATTGAATGTTTTCTCCGTCCTGCTTCTTGTATCAAAATGTGTCTTTTTGCTTTGTCCAGTACTCCCTTAAAAAAGAGGTTCCTAATCTCAATGTGTCTTTCCTGGCTAAAGAAAGGTTTAATAACCTTTTTAAAAATTGTTTTGTAAGGAATTTTCCAGTAATAAGTCCTATATACATTGAGATGGACGGGTCAATATCCTTTCTTGTCAAGTTATGGATGACACAGATTCATGTAAAGTAAGAATTTTTAAAACACTATAATGAATACAGGCCCTCATCTTGGCATAATCCCCACCAGTAAGATTAGTTGGAGAAGAAATTTTTGACCAATGGCAAGAGACCTTGTCTGTGCATCAAGAATTTTGAGAAATAAAGAAATAAAATAAATGGCATCTTGAAGTAGAAAAGGTGAGATTCCTTAAAGACGCAACTTCGTGTCCCATACCCTCATGCTGTCTATATTGGTTTTGGGCTGGGATATAGTGGTGGAGGATCATTCCCCAGAGCAACTGGAGGGGATCTTCTTGGACCAGATCCCGTCATTTTAGGAAACATGGGTCAAAAACAGTCCATTGTAGCCTCGGATGTCCCACAGAGACCAAGGCCTTCAATGCGAAACAAGGGCCTGATTATGTATGTACGCTCTGAGAAAGTGGTTCCCAGCCTTGCACCCCCCTCGGCAGTATAGACAGGACACCAGTGAGGTACTGGTGGTACTGTTGTTAACACAATCCAACCAAAACAGACAAATAAAATGGACCATCATCAGGTTTATCTAATTTTTCAATATTGTTTTATTTGATTTTTCTGACATATCCGTGTGCACAGGTAACGCATACAGGCATGAATTATTGAAGCCTCCGACCAGAGCCAAAAAAGCAGTGACATGGGCCGAGGAGCAAGTAGGCTTTCTGGAGGTGCCAAGTTCTTTATTAACTAAGAAGTTGTTGTTTTTTGTGGGTTTTTTCTGTCTCTAATGCATTTTATTAGTTTCCAAAGCCATTCAAAGGTGAAAGCCAGGTCTTCTACCCAACTCCAACAAAACTCATGCATCCAAAACCAGTGAGGGATGAGCTGCCGTTACGCGACGAAAGGAAAGAAATGTTGAGGAGAGTGGAGCAGACGCACTGGCTCACGTCCTACCAGCTCCACTACTCAGGTAAAGATTGGCTCTGATTTGGGATTAACGATGGATTAGGAATATACATTTGATACACACTCAAAAATTCTAAATCTTTATAGCAAATTTCATGAATACTTTGGAAATAAAGTTGTATTCCATCCATCCATCCATTTTCTACCCTTTAATCCATTTCTGGGTCAGGGGGGTGGCAGTCAGAGATGCCACCCAAGTCTCATAGCACCAGCCCCTCACTGACCCTCTGCAGGTGGTGAGTCCACAGGAGGACGGCTGCTCTCTGAGTGTGAGCATAGCCTTGATCTTTCAGTGGGGGCTTTGGGCAAAGTGGGGTTAAGTGTCTTGCCCAAGGACACAACGACAGCAGTCATCAGTGGGAGTTGGTGGAGAAGGTGTAGAGGTGGGAATTGGACCCACAACCTCCAGGCCTGAAGGCCAATGCTCTACCAACTGAGCTACTGTCGATAAAGTTATATTATATTATACAAAAGCAAACAAGGTACAAACATTAGGCCCCAGAAATTTTTACCGCTCTACTATAAGTGATGGTTAATTGTTATTCTACACAAACTTCCACACACGCTTACACACACACACACACACACACACACACACACACACACACACACACGTACACACACACACACACACACACACGTACTGTACAAACACACACACACACACACACACACACACAAACAGTATAGACCCACATACAAAGCATACAGCATTTATCCATGAACATTTTAGGCCAAACTATAAAAGCCTTGGATGAATATTGTAATGTATGAAACTAAAAGTAAAAATTGGATTGGAAAAACTTGCCGTTTGTGAATAATAAAGATTGTGTGAATAAGGTTGTCTCGTCATTCAGGTTATGAAAAGGGACATCTCAAGATGGATTCTCAACTAAGATCCAGCAGGTCAACGAGAAGAAACGCCCACTCTGCGCCCCAGGTAAATATATATACACTTGGATACTGTATCATTATCAATTTGAATAGATACTGTTTTACATACAGTAATACAATGCAGTGCAGTACCTAAATCATTGTTGGAGCCAAAACAGTGCGCCACTAGAGGGCGGTATGGAACCACAGTGATGGAGGTTGAGCAGGTGGAAGCAACAGTCAGGCACGGATTTCAAAACTGATAAATGAAATAGATGGTTAAAACTTAGTATATACGGAAAACTGTTTGTATATTTTGAATATCTCCAAGGACTGAAAGAGCCTTCTTTACGTTTACAGCCAAATCACAACGTGTCAGACTTTAACTTCTAGTAGCAAGAAGCATCCTGTGTCCTGCAGTAGACTTCAAAAGCAAATAGCTCAGTACATACAGTAACACAAACATGACACTACTGCAGACACAAGACAAAACAAAGCACGACAACAAACACACACACACTCAGACAACACCCAAACTCTCTTCGACCCTACACCTACCAGTGCTCGCTCTGTACTTTAGGCATCACTCTCTTTCATCCACATATTTCTTCAGTATTTCTTTTTTAAGCAGTTAAAAAATAAAAAAAATTATCAGATTTTAGCAAGTTTTGAATGTGTCTGCTGAAAGGTAACTCCACTGAGATGCACATGGATTTGAAAGTAGTTCTAAACATATCATTCACCCTACACGACCACCGTGAAACCCACTTGATTAATCAATAAAGATTAATCCAACACAACGTAATGCATGTCCTGGACATTCAACGTGGACACAATTTGGAACAAACAAACAATACAAATATACAAAAGTTATACAATACCACGTATTTGGCACAGACACCTCTCCCACAACTCGCTTAAAGCATTCCCTTTCTTTCATCCATGTACTTCTTCAGTGTTATTTTTTTTCATACCATATTTTTTAAAATGCATATCAAATGTTTTGAATAATCTGTATATTTGTTTCAAAGAGTAACTACACTTTTAAACCCATGAATTGCCTGTAATACACTAGCTATTTGTTATTTATTTGCTTTTTGTGGTTTAAAACTACATTGGAATATGTGTACAAAAGTAACTAGCGTGAACCAGACAACAACATAAAAACAGAGTCAAACATTAAATCCGAAAATAAGATTGATCAGTACCTGTACTGTACTCAAGCCGGTCTTTTCACCGAAGGAACACACTCTTGCGCAGTCTTAAACATGTAAGAAAGAGCCCAGTGAGTCACTATTTGATGCTTTGGGCTGAGAGCGGATTGGTTGAGAAAAAATTGTCCAATCTTTTCCAATAATTTGTCTGAAAAAGCTGATCTAAAGATGTGACAAAATAAACCAAGAAATTCTGGCATGGATACAACTGGAAATGGAACCAAACCTTTTTCAGACTAGAGATTGGTGAGATGGATTTTCTACTGCGCTATGAAAGGTCTCCCATCTTAAAACAAGTTTATCTGTATTTCTCGATATTGTTCACCTTTACAATGAATCCCTCTCTCTCTCCTTTCAGAGGGTCAAGCCTGTGTCTCCCCCCGTGCCCCCCACTCTTACAGACAACCACAGCAGAACTGATGATCTGAGAGCAGGCATGACAGGTCCCAGCGCTCATCGTCCGGTCACATTCCCAGCTCCGCTCCAGAGATCCTCCTCGGCTTTCGTGCTGCCAGGAGAGATCTCAGCTGACCGGAACGAGTCAGCGAGGCCACATCGATGGGGCCACAGCCAACCAGAGCCCAGCAGTGGTATGGGACACACTCTGGAGGATGCTCTGTCCGATGGAGCAGCAAGGGAGCGGACTGGAGGGTTTGGAAACAGTGGTGACGTACAACAAGACACAGATAGACCTTTGCAACACGGAAAATTAGCTTTAAATGCTTATAAAGAAGAAAGAAGTGGTCAATCTGGTGTGTATGAACGGCTACTTCCTGGTTCAAATCAAGACACAGATAGGTCTTTGCAACACAGACAATTTACATCAATGAACGATGTTGTGAATCGTCAATCGTCCGGTAAAGAAACGAAAGCGTGGCCCAGACCCCCTGCTCTGCCTGGGATTCGGCCGCGCTCTGGAGAAGGTCTCAGTCTCAAAGAGCTTCAGGATTCCTACAGTAAGACACAGGCCCATCGCAGGTTCAACAGCTCCACGAGAAGAGCTAACGTCGACCTCAAAGACCACGTGTGCGCAGGCAGGAGGCATGACTTCTACGGAGTCAATGTGCACTACCTCCATGGATGAATTTAGTTTGAGGGTAAATAGTGTAGGCAGTATTACAATTCACTTCAATAGGAGCCAGAGTGAGTTTGAGTGAAACGTTTGCATTAGGAGTTAGCATTAGGGGTCAGCATTGTCCTTTTATATGCAGTCTACGGAAAAGAATTTGCAACCAAGTATTAAAAAGTGTACGTTAGAAACTTTTTTGACAGTTTTACCTAATGCTTTGGAGCATAGGGTAAAACAAAAAACGTGTTCCTCAAATGGCTCAAATTAAAGCTGGCACTTCTTTTCAAATACATTGTTGTAGTGAATAGAGTCTGAGGATTGTGTCAAAAATAATTGAAACAGCCACACACAAAAGTATATTGTAGAGGCAACATTATTATTACTTGTTTACTAACTTTATTTGGTTGAATTTGGACAGTGAATATGAATAAATGTCTTTGCAAACAGCTTCAATATAAATATACTGGACTTAGCACAAAAGCTAAATTTAATTCATCTGTCCAAAAAAACCTAAACAAAACATTGAATTTTCAGTTAGACATTACAAAATTTATCAAAGATACACAACAGCGAGACAAAGACAATAGGCCTACATGAACAGTGGTTATAGGCAAATGTGATCACTGTTAAAGCTGGGGTACCTCACTTTTTGAAAACAAGTTATACATGTTGTTTTGTCCCAACAGAAAAACTCTTGTAAAAGTTTAATTTTGTGAATAAATCAGACCATGAAACGCATTCTTCATCTGATTGGGCTGAGAACTGGCTGAGTTAAGGTCGTTTTTTGTTTGGTTTTTTTTTTTTGCCAAAAATATACGATGCTTTGGGCTGGAAACCAAATTGTTATAGCGCCAAAAACTACTACTGCTTTGTTTTTTTTCTTACATAATAATTTGTGGTTTCAAAGATAGGTACCCCAGCTTTAAAGATGATATAAGTTCACACAGCGCTTTCTTGCATTTTTTCAATTCCATCCACTGTTGTGCTGCCCTCGCCTTCTGTCCTCGAGCTGTGAAAGATGCTTTTTTCATATAGTCAGTCTGAAGGATTTTGTCAGAGGCGCAGAACAGACCTTCAGCCGCATCCTTGAGTGACATAACAGCTCCTCATGGGAAAAATAAAAGTCAGAGGGAAAAGGCCACGAACAACATTGTGGAATCAACTGATATGAGGCGTTTTGGAATAGAAACAAAAGAAGCTTAAATTGGAATGCTCAACGTCCTGCGCTTAGTGAAGTTGTGATACCGCTTGTGTCCAGCAGAGAGCGGTGTCTTCATAGTATAGCCATTGACAGTTTCATTAAAAAAACAGCCCTATGATAATGTTTTTCAGGGAGTTTGCAGTACAAATATGTTACTAGCAAACATAAGGCTTGTTTTAAAAGGCAATATAAAAAGGGTATTTCGTCTAAAAGTTTAAAAGTCACATGTATTATTATTATTATTAGTAGTAGTAGTAGTAGTAGTAGTAGTAGTTTATTCGGTGAAGCATGAGAAACAAAGTTACAGTTAACTATTGAAGAAGATGACATAGTCTGGGATCGCGTCTTAAATTCCGACAGAAGACATGTTTTATTGTCGATGGTAGAGACAGCACGAACAACAGATACAAGAGAATGCAAGTGTATTATACAGAGCGGAGGCATGGAGACCTCCAATCTGCAGCTTCCACGGTGTGCTTGTAGCTTGGCCTTCAGATAGACAAAACAAGGGAAAAGTACTGGCTTCTGCACATTGATAGAATGATGAGTTTTAATTGTTTAAACTTTAACAAAAGTTGCTTCAAAGTGTTATGAAATCTCACACTATCAACAAAACAACAGAATTACAATATGCGACCGAAGGGTTCAGGCTGAAGTTAAACTTATTTCGCCTGACCCAGTACAAGGAAACGGATCGTTTCCATAGGAACACAAAATATACAAGCTGAAACAATACAAGCTGATACAGTATCAGCAACGTCCAGTAACGATGAGTAACAAAAGGAAACAAAGGTTTAGCCTATAGCCAAGTTACAAATATTCAGACCATTGTTCGGTATTTATCAACAATTTTGGATTTAATCCCCATTTTAAACAATTTCAATGCTTTTGCTGTTTTTAAATGGTCATCGAGATTGCTCCATAACGTGACTCCACTCACTGAGACACATCTACTTTTTAGGCCCGAGCCCCAACCGGGGTAAGGGCCTATTGCTTTTCCAACGAGTAATGCCTGGGCGAAGCAGCTCGGAGATTGTGACCTGCACGCGACGGCACGTGCCCAAGCAATGATAAATCCGTGCCGTGAATGGCTTTGCTCCTGCTGTAGTACACAGTGAATATATTGAGGTCCTATTAAAGGTGGTTTCTTTCAACTGTCTTACGTCCCCCAAGCCCGACGGCACGTGCCCAGACACTTACAAATCAGTGGCCGGAGGCCACTGGCTTTGCTCCTGCTGTAGTACACTGTGTAATGAATGGGGTCCTATGGGGGGGGGGGGGGGGGCTCATGATGGCGCTCGTCAATCACCGAGAACCCAATAGTTGCGTTCGCCTGTTCGTTCGCTTTAAAACAAAAACAAAAAAATCTTTCTTTCTTTTTTCTTCTGCGCTTTGAACCTTAATTTGACCCCCTGAACATTGATGAAAAGTTGTGAAATTTTGCCCAAAATTCAGAACCGGCAAAAAATTTATTTTTTTGGTGTTTATTTTTATGGGACTAAAAAAATGACAGAACAGCGCCCCCTACAAAAGTCAGTTTACATTGCGCCTATGGGAGCTGGTCGGAGGTCAAGTTTGTCGTAGAGCCACAAAACTCGGTACACATGTTCCTCAAGTCAAGACATGAAAAAAAAGTTATCATGGCTCCGCCCCCTGACAAACAGGGAGCTCATTAATTTCAATGGGAAATGGAAAAATGAAAATTGATATTTTTCACACATGTCGGTTGGAAATGATCTCCTCCTCGGCCGTTTCACCGATTTGTTTCAAATCGCTCCACATGGTCCAAACACATGTACCATCAATTATTGAATATAGAATTTGGATCAGTTAAACGTTGTCCGAGCAGCGGAGCGGCAAAATGTGAAATTTTTTGGGGGATTTTTGACAAAAGTAAATTTGCTCCCGTTTGCACAAACAAGGCCGGATTTGCACAAAATTTTAATCCATTGTTCAGCTCCAGGGTCTAGGTCATTTGAAAGTGGAAATATTGAAATTGGCTCATTAGCGCCCCCTACAGACTCTGTCAAAGATTTACATGGGCCTAATAAAATTTAGTTTTTTCAAAATGTTTGAAATTTTGCACATAATTCTGTTTTGTCATCTGGATTCAAAAAGTCAATGACAACATATGGTTATTTTTTACCCTGTTGCCGTGGCGATGGCCAACACTCCCCTGTCTGTGTCTATGAGAAAATCGTTAAATCTCTGAAAAGTACACCTCGCTCAAACATCAAACCAGCCGCGGCCGTTTCACTAATTTGGCTGAAAATCGCTCCACATCGCCTCATCACATGGACCATCAATAGTTGAATATGGAATTTGAATTAGTCAAACGGTCTGAGCGTGCCAGACTCCCAAAGTGTGGTTATTTTCATAGAGAGGTGTGAAGTTCCCATGTTATCCAATGGACACACTCACAGATTGTATGGGCAAACAGGAGCACATTAGCACTAAACTTGACTCTGTTGTTCAAGTCCTGGGCCTAGGTCACATGACAGTGTGAAAAATGACATTGGCCCATTAGCGCCCCCTACAGGCTGAGTAAAGGTTTACATGGGGATACAGGTATTTAGGTTTTCTGTTGTTTGATCTCATATTTGACCCACATAACAAACACAAAAACTCACCAAACTTTCCCACAAGTTTTTTTCAGGCATAAAGTGTATTATTTTGGTGTTCTTTGGTATAACACTAATAAATTGAAATTGTAGGGGGCGCTATTGTACAACATTAAATAACACCATTTGCACATAAAAAGTCCAATTTGCACAAAATTGATTTGATAGTCCAACTCTTGGGTTTGAGTAAACTGAACGTGTAAATCATGGAAATGCAGCATCAGCGCCCCCTACAGAGTGATACAAGTGTTACAAGGAGAGACTGGATTTTACCTTTTCAATAGAGACTCACTGATCATAGTAATTCTAAATACACAGTGTCGCTCCCGTCAGGGCAGTGGGAAAATGGCGCATCAGCGCCAGCTCCTTTGCGCGGTGCGGCTAGGGCCGTTAGATGCCGCTTGCGGCTTTAATTATGTTTGTTCTTGCCCAGTCCTTTTTGAAATAACCAGTTCCCCGAAGGCTGTACAGACTTTCTCTTAGTTTAAAAAGTTTCTGGATACAAGGTACAGCCCTATGATAATGTTTTTATCATAGGGCTATATTACTATTATTATTAGTAGTCTTATTTCAGGCCTGCGGGTCCTTAGACATCAAAAAGGCAGTACAGGGAACACACACACACCGAAATATCCAACTATGCATTGGTATTTTTCCCTGGTTTATTTTGCTGTATTTGTTCTCTTTGTCTTTTTTCCTGTTTGTCCAGTTGGTTGTGTGTTTCTCCTCTTGTTGTTAGTCCATTGATTCCTCCCCTGTTTCTGTGCAGTTTGATTTTGGATTTTGAAGTTTTATTTATCAAATATTATAGTTGCAGGTCTTTTGTTCTGCATTTATGACTGTATTGGTCAGATAATAATGCCAAAGTTGCATAGACTGCTGAGAGCTCAGTAGCGGCTCTACTTCATCAGATGCTCAAATAAGCTCAAAATTAGGATAATGGACTGTGGAGAGGCCCTCTGCACAAGTATCGCTGTCAGAGGTAAAGAGACATCATCGGCAAACGGCTGCATCTATGGAGACAAACACAGCTCTGCTACAGAGGAGGAGAACAACCTGCCACTATGAGACTATACGGCCAAGTGTTATTTTCATTTGCTCTATGCACTTTTAAATCTAATTATTTTGAAATCCAGAGAAAAATTCCAAATTGCATGGACCTTGTTGGTTCACAGATACATTTCATAAATCTC